TCTGATTCAGGATAAGTTAATAGATGTTGACGTTGTTGAGACATGACGCGTTGTAGTATCGACGTTGACGCGCTGGTGGGAAGTGATCAGCTCGCTTGGGTGATCAGCTCGCTTGTGAACCACGTTACTTGTGTTTTTCATAAGACGGCAAGGAGAATCGAACTCCTGGTCCTTGCGCATGTTCTCGGAAAACGCCGGGACAGGGAAGTCTTATTAGTAGTAGACACAATACTTTCTGCGGTTACGAACCGGCACTTCCGATGAGACTGAGCAATACATACACCAAAATCTGACCCTCGCTCATCCCTTCTTATCAGGACAAATCACAATTGCCCGGAATAATCGGATAATCACAATAACATGTAGAATATTATGGTACATTATTTACAAAACGGAATCTACGCCAGGAACCCCCGTGCTTTCCAACTCCCAATATATCGTCGTACAACTTCGTCGTCAACACTGCCAACGCCCCTCATGGCCGCCGAGTCCTTCTGACTCCGCTCAGTGCCTAGTAATACACCTCCACAACTCATTCGCGTAAAATCAGCTTCTAGGAAATCTACAAGTCGCTTCGCAGGATTGAGATCCGCGTTGCCCGGGGTAGCCTCGTGAGAAAAGGACCGCACACGCTTGATCCACTCCTTGAACGAAATAATGTTCTTTTCTGGAATGCCCAGCTCCGAGGCGAGGAGGGGTAGCATCTTGCTCCAAGGCTGGCGAACGGGATTATCAATGTGATATATGCCCCCGGCGGTAGATGCACCGAGTGCAAGGTCCGCACACACTGCCGCTACCGCGTCAACGGGTGTCCAGCTCACCGGGCCCTCGAACTTGGGCAGTGCCCTCAGTGTCTGCGAACTTTTGATGAGGAAAGGTAGGTGTTCGTTCTCGTTCCAGTAGCCAGAGGCGGAGCACCCGGCAACTTGGCCCAGTCGCACTGCCATGACACTGAAGCGGGAACTGTGCTTATGAAGCGTTTCATCGAGCATGCGCTCGCATACGTATTTTGCATCTCCATAGCCGTTGGGCAAAACGTGCTCGATGATGACGCGCTGTTCGGGTATGTGAGGCGTCCCTTCGTGTATGGGATAATGTCCCACAGTCGCAATGGAAGATATGAATTGAAAGACAACTTTGGAGTCGGAAGACGAATGGGCAGAAATCAATGCAGCAAAGTCGATTAGGCTGCGAAGAACACGGAACTGCGGAAGAAAAGCCGAGAAAGGTTGTTTGGCATTCATAGGCCAAGCATTGTGGACGATATGCGTGACGGATTTGACCAGTTGGTCATAGGTGGATTGTGGCAAGCTGAAAAATGGCTTCGTCATGTCCACTTCGAAAACGGAAATTTTTCCCGAGGCTGAAGGAGAAAGAGTGAGATCCCGTGACTTGAGAGCAGCGAGCTGGCGCCCGAGGGCATCCAAGCCCGATGATTTGTTGCGCCGGTTGAAAGCTATTACCGAGGACACGGTTGGAAGATTGGCATAATGGGCAAGCATATGCGACCCGAGGCTGCCAGTGGCGCCAGTGATGAGAACGCATTGCCCAGTCCGACCAGTATCGTCAGAATTTGCCGCTACCTGCGTGGGCAGTGCGAATCCCGTGGTCATCGACTCGATGAGTTTGTCGGTCGCTGCCCTCCTTTCATCGTGGCGAAAATCCTACTAGTTCAGTTAGCTAGTCAATCAATAGAGATCGAAATCGCACACACCTCTTGCTGAATAGGCTTTGAAGGGACACTCAAACGCTCGAGTTGCTTGCCACCTGCTGTGGCAATGATGACCCTCTCGCATCTGACCTCTTCAACATTGCCATCGCTCCAATCAACGTGTCCGTAACCGACACTGTGGAGGACCTTCTCCCAGGTCTGAGGAGGGGCGACAGCATGCTGTCTGCCATCCTCGAAGAGCCACCAGCCCTCGAAAACACCAAAGACAATATCACACCAGTACATTGGCTCAGTCATCTCCAGCAGCATCAACACACCGTCAGGTCGGAGCATCTTGCGGATGTTGGCTGTAGACACTGGAAGACTGCGTGTGGCGTGAACTGCGTTACTGGCGATGACGACGTGCTGGCTCTGCATCAGATCGGCCGCAGGCTCCTTCTCAATGTCGTGGACCCTGAACTTCATGAAGGGGTACTGCTTGTACTTCTTCCTCGCCGCAGCTACGAAGCTAGGCGCCAAATCAGTGAAAGTGTACTCAATGTTGACGCCCAGGGTGGCAAGCAGCGGTACCAAGCTGTTGGTCGTGGCGCCAGTACCGGCTCCCATCTCAAGGATCTTGAGAGGACCATGTTCAGGGCGGCGAGAAGGCGATGTCGCAAGACGACGAAGGAAATCACCCATCTGAGCATAGTAGAGCTTGTTCAGAGGGAAGTCAGCATAGACAGCTCCGACCAGCTCACGACCACGCTCGGTACCGAAGATGAGTTTGATGCCATCTTCTTTGCCAGTGAGAATGCCTGCGAGATGCGAGCCTGTCCAGTATGCAAGCTCGTTGCAGCATGCATGCTCGGGGTACTTATCGAGCAGCTCGCGAAGAAGGTCGCTGCTTGCTCTTGTGGGGACTGGCACGTTGGTGCGAGTGATCTTGTCGTTGTCGAGGTCCACAAGGCGAGCGGTTTCGAGAACGGTGTAAAGGTATTGCGCAAACTTCTTCTGGTCACTGGCATGCGGGATGAATGGTAGCTCCTCGCCCGCCTTGGCCGCGCTGAGATCGCAGTCTAGGTTCGAGAACGCCTCCACAACCAGGGCGACGCAAAGCTGATCCTGCTGGGGTGCAATGGTTTGAAGATATCCGGGGGCACCAAACTTCTCCATGAGCTGATCAGTTTCCATCTTCGCCTCGCTGAAGGCCTTGATGGCTGCGGACTGGGGCATTTCAAAGTCGAATGGAAAACCAGTGCCATCTTCAATGACTGACAAGGGCGTAATGGACCCTTCAGTGCCTTCTTGTTCGTCGGCTGAGGAAGATGACGATGAAGACGAATCACCACCGCTCGATGATATGCCGAGCGAAGACTCGAGACAATGAAGCAGTTCTGGGAAGTTGGTGACGTGAACAAGTTCGTCCTGTGGCAGGGTGCACTTGAACTCGCCCTCAATCTCCCTTGCCATCTCCATGCCCATGAGCGAATCGACACCAATGTCTGCAAGGTCAACATTGCTCTTAATCTCGTCAACTTCGAGACCAGAGATATCGGCCAAGATTGCCTTGAGCCTTTGTACAATATCACTGGGGGCACTCTTCGTGGCTCGAGGTGTCGGTTGCGGGATCTCAATCTTTGCGACCGTGGGCGTAGGGGGAGTGGGAAGATCGGCTGATGCCATAAGGACTGGAGCGACGCTCTTGAGGGCTGGTGACTGCACCACTCCGGCTTCTTCGCGTGTCAATCGAGAGAGTAGTCGTCCCATTGATACTCGCGAGACCTTGGCGTACTGAATACCCAAGATGGCCTCAGTCAGGCTTCCTGTTGCAGCATCAAAGATGAAGACATCGGAGAGGATCGAAAGCCCGTCTGCAGAGCGCGAGTGTTGTCCGAAGACGTGCCACTTCTCAATGGATCGGGTTTGCGCCTCCGTCATGGTAGGTGCGCGAACCCACTGCTCGATGCCATTGGCGATCCACATATCCTTGTCGTTCTCTTCAGCCATGCAGTTAACCCAGATGCCGGCTACCTGACAGAAAGCATCGGAGAGGAAAGAGTCGAGCCAGCTTTCACCTGAATGCTTCTTGACAACGCGGCCGGCAGATTCATGGCCCAATCCGACGAGCTTTTGCAGGCCAAAGTACAAGGGCGAGTAGTTGACAATGGGGGAGAAGACCCGATAGATGGTCCTCTGACCCTGAAGGACCTCGTCAGGGTTCTCGGAGTGCAGGATTTGCATGCATCGGCGATGGCTGACAAGGCGCTCGTATCGACAGAACTCGGACTGGTAATGAATATCGCTTCCGCTGCGGAACTGAACTTCACCGGAAACGTGGGTCGTAGGCATACCACCAGACGGGCCAGTAGAAGTCCACTTCCAGCTCCAGGTCGTGCGACTAGCGTCCAAAGCTTCAACATCGAGCCATACGGAGCGCGATTTGTCAACGCAGACAGGCACGAGATTGGTCATGCTGCGAATTTGCGGCTGAATGCCATCAGCTGAGAGATGCTGAGAGAGACTCTTGACGGCTTCGATGACAACGTCTATCTGCACAGTGGCAGGACAGATCGGTGCCACACCAGCAATAGTATGACCTGCCACGATTTCCTCGTATTGAGGAATCATGGTGTTGATGCGGAACTTAGCCAAGCATTGCTTCGTGTCTTGGTAACCAACGAAGCTGTACAGCTTGGTCGGCAGCTCTTCCTTGTCTTCCGCTACAGCAGCTACAAGCTTCGGCGGTGCCTTGAGCTCAAGCCAGTGCTTCTTCTTCTCAAACTGGTATGGTGGCAAAAGAAGGGCACCATAGTGTTCCGTCTGTGCTCTCGAGTGACCCCAGTAAGTAACGGGGAGGCCAGCTTTCCAAAGTGCAAGGGTGGCATCGGTCAGTCGTTGAACTCCCTGTGTGCCAGATAGGTTCACTGCCTGGAAGTGATGAGCTGGGGGCATGTCGAGCGCCTTGCTTGCCATGGATGTGATTGTGGCGTTTGAGCCAGCTTCAAGCCAAATGGCGGATGGGTACTTCTTTGCAAGGCGATGCGTGGCATGCGAGAAGTACACAGGGTTTCGCAGATGATCGGCGACAAAGTCTGCATCGAACTCTGAAGATGTCTTTGAAGTATCGATGGACCTTTCAACAGGAATGGTAGCAGGGTTGAAGGTCAATTCGGCGCCGATTTGCTGGAGCTGGGGTCGGAGTGGTGCAACCAAAGCCGAGTGGAAAGCATTGGAGACGCTCAACTTCTTGAATCGTAGCTTTGCGTGCTTCTCGGAGATTGCTGCAATGACGGCCTCGATGCTGTTTGCAGATCCGGCGATGGTGTGGGACCTTGGTGCGTTGTAACAAGCAATTGATGCATCGAGGCTTGGGTCGACATCCTCCAGTACCTTCAACACCTCCTCCTCAGTTCCCTCTACGACAACCATGGAACCCTTCTCAGGGCCCCAGCTGTCTCTGATAAGGGTAGCTCGGCCAATGATCAGCTTCAGTGCGTCCTTGAGGCTGAGAACACCGGACGCGCACAGAGCAGTGAGCTCACCGAAGCTGTGTCCAATTACAGCAACAGGCTTCACACCACATTCAATCCAGCACTGAGCGGTGCTGTACTGCAAAGCGAACAAGGCAGTCTGGAGAAGAACAATGTCCTCGATGGGCGTGGCTTGGAAGACAGCGGGGTAGATGCTCTCAATACCAAGTGAGATAGCGATGGCATTGCAGCGGTCCATGTGCTGGCGCAAAAGAACATTGCTATCATAGACTGCACGATCGAGATTGATGGTGGTGGACAGCTGGCCGCCAAAGCACAGAATGACGGGTCGAGCTGGTGGAACATCGGTCGAAGAAGTAGCTGCGTTTTCTAGCTCAGTGAGCTTCCCAACAAGATCCGGAACCGACCGCGCACTCAAGATGCGGGCTCGAGGAAGAGTGCGGTTGGATTGTCGAGAGATGTTAAATGCGAGATCTGCAATTGACGTATTGGGTCTCCGCTTGAGATAATCTTGGAGCTTGGCTGTGTAGGCACGAATGCTCCTGTCATCGAGACCGGAGAACCAGAACGGATATCGGAGGTCCGCATCTTCCTGAGCAGTTTGGCTAGTGGCGGTGGTCTTCAATCTAAACTTAGGTGCCTGGGTCACAACCATAGAAGCATTACTTCCACTTGCACCATAGTTGTTGATGAGGGCAGCCTTAAAGTCAGCATTCCAAGGCTTTGACTGTAAGGTAATTTGAATGCCATCGCTCTTGTTTGCTCCGATTGCTGGGTTCATGACTGTATGACTAGCCTGGGGTGGGATGGTGGCCTCGTGCAACATGCAAAGCACTTTGACAAGACTCACGGCTCCAGAGCTACCTTCGGTGTGACCAACCAGGCCCTTGACGGAGCCCAGCTGCAGTGGAACAGGTCTCTTGATTCCATTATCTTTCTCTTGGCCAAAGATGCGACGGATGGCGGCGTATTCAGCTGGGTCACCAACTGGGGTACCAGTGCCGTGTGCTTCAACGACCGAAACATCCTGTGCATTCAAATTGGATGTCTCAAGAACCGACCTGAAAAGGGTAGACAAAGAAGGGGCATTGGGGACTACAATAGGCGTGTCGTTGCTGTTTTGCGCCACGGCAGTACCAGAAATGACACCGATGATCGCGTCTCCATCCTTCTGAGCTTGAGAAAGAGACTTGAGGAAGACAGCAGACACAGCTTCACCACGGCAGTACCCATCGGCGTTTGCGTCGAATGGTTTGCAGGGACCAGTTGGGCTGAGGAAAGATGCACCGGCAAGGTTCTGGTAGACGCCTGGCTCACTGATGGTGTTTGTGCCACCAGCCAGTGCGGCAGTGACCTC